GTCACCATCATCATAAATGTCATCGTCGTCATCGTCATCGTCACCATCATCATAAATGTCATCGTCGTCATCGTTGTCGTCATAATCATCATAAATGTCATCGTCGTCATCGTTGTTGTCATAATCATCGTTGTCGTCATAATCATCATCATCGTCATCGTCGTCATAATCATCATCATCGTCATCGTTGTCGTCATAATCATCATCATCATCATCGTCGTCATAATCATCATCATCGTCATCGTTGTCGTCATAATCATCATCATAATCATCGGCGTCATAATCATCATCATCGTCATTGTCGTCATCATCATAATCACCGTCGTCATCGTCATAATCATAATATATTATATTGCAGGACAAGGAGCCGCGAGGCATCATTCCGCTAGAGGGCGTCAGCGTGCACGTTCTTGTGTTTATCAGGACAAGGAGCCGTGGGGCATCATTCCGCTAGAGAGCGTCAGCGTGCACGTTCTTGTGTTTATTTCACGTTCTTGTGTTTATCAGGACAAGGAGCCGCGGGGCATCATTCCGCTAGAGAGCGTCAGCGTGAGAGAGGTGCAGGACCGCAACAAGACGCACTGCTTCGAGATCTTCTCTGTCGACAACGACGTCATCAAGGCCTGCAAGACCGACTCCGAGGGCAAGGTCGTCGAAGGTCGGTGCTGCTTGCTTGTCGGACGGCATCTTTGTTTTCGTTTTTTCTTGTTTTTTATTTTAAAAATCTTACAGAAATTGTGATTAGGAAGAAAGGGGGATGGGCAGTGGCGAAAGAAAGAATTACATTAGGGTTTAAAACATGGAACGAGGTCGAAAGAGCTGCCAAAGATAGAACGTCTTGGAGAAATTTGATTTCCAGCCCTGTTCTCCATGAGGAGAGAAGGAACTAAGCGAAGAAGATAGGAGGATATCATTATACTGGCAAACAAAACAGGAAGATCGGAAAAAAAATCAAAAAAATCAAAATAAAATGACAAAAAAAAGGTCGTCGCATCTCCCCGTTCGACGCCGCGAGCATCCCTCGGGCTGTTTTTTTATTTTTCTTTGTTTTTTTTTCTTTTTTCGATTTTTCGATTTTGTTCCCTGTTGTGCCATTATACTGATAATATTCTCATCCCCCTTTGTCTTACTAATCACAATTTCTGCAAGGTTTTTATTGAGCCCCGTGCCTTATTGAAAACCTGTTAATTAGTGATTAAAAGTCTGATAGGCTGATGATGTCATTAGATGATCCGTTCTTCGTGGGAGCAGAGGGAGAAATATCACAAAACACTTTTATATTTAGAACAAACAACTATTTTTATATTTTTATTCTTTATTCATATTATTAAATAATAAATAAATAATAAAAAATATAAAAATAATAAAGAATAAATAAATATATATATATATATATATATATAGTTATTTATTTGTATATCTTTATGTATGATGTGACATGTAATGCGTGTTTTCATGCTGTGTTGCAGGCAAGCTACCGACGGTTTTTTTAATCGCGGCAATGTCTGCAAGCCCACGGCTGAGGAGAAGGACGAGTGGATCAAGTGTATCAGGTGAGGCTTCCTCAAGGGATGAAGCCGTCACCATGGCGACGCCCTGGTGTGTGTGTGTGCGTGCCGTGCGTGCGTGCGTGCGTGTGTGTGTCTGCAGATGTTTGTGTATGTGTGGCGTGTATGTATGCGCGATGTGCAGCGTGTGTGCGTGCATTGCGTGCGTGCGTGCGTGCGTTGTCTGGTCGAGCGTGCAGCGCTAGGCTGTGTTGTCTGGCCCTTACGCAACCCTTACCCCTAACACCCATCCCGTGCATGTATTGTATCAGACGCATTATATTGATTGTATTATACACCCGTATCTATTATCTTATCGTATATATTAATATTATATCAGACTTATATCATTATATCATATTATATTATACATATTAGACATTATATCATTATTATATCAGATACCCGCATCACGGCGTTTGTGTTGCCTTTTATTTTATTATTAAATCTTTATTGCATGTATTCGAATACAAATACATGTGCATGACCTCTGTAGGGAAGGTTTTCGGTGTTGCACGTTACACGTCGGTCAAAACCTGTTATGACCTCTGTGGCGCAATAGGGTCGCAACATCCACTGTGTGTTGCATCATCGTATTTCATCGCCGCACCTCTTCGTAGGGCGAGCATCAACGAGCATCCTTTCTACGACATGCTCGTTGTGCGCAGGAAGAAGGCTCAGCACAAGATTGGAAAGAAGAGCGCCTAGCAACCGTCTCCGCGTCCCGCCCGGCAACCATCGTCGCGTGTGGCTGGGCACCCGGCAACCGTCGTCATGCGCGGCCGGGCGCCAAGCAACCGTTGTAGCATTCCCGCCCGGCAACCGTCGTCACGCGCGGCTGGGCGCCGAGCAACCGTCTCTGCGTCCCGCTCGGCAACCGTCGTCACGCGCGGCCGGGCGCCTAGCAATCGTCGTAGCATTCTCGCTCGGCGACCGTCGTGGCGCGCGGCCGGGTGCCTAGCAACCGTCGTAGCATTCCCGCTCGGCGACTGTCGTCACGCGCGGCCGAGCGCCTAGCAACCGTCGTAGCATTCTCGTTCGGCGACCGTCGTGGCGCGCGGCCGGGCGCCTAGCAACCGTCGTAGCAATCCCGCTCGGCGACCGTCGTGGCACACGGCCGGGCGCCTAGCAACCGTCGTAGCATTCCCGCTCGGCGACCGTCGTGGTGTGCGGCCAGGCGCCTAGCAACCGTCACTGCGTGCCGCTGTGCGCTTAGCAACCCTCGTCGCGTGCAGCCAGGCGCCTAGTAACCGTTGCCGCGGGAGCAAAACTGGGATCCTCACCCGAGCACCGTTCTTTTGTTTTGTGTGCCTGGCAGTGGGGGATCTCGCTCATTGCCCGTGGAACGCTTCACTCTGAACGAGACGTTAGGTGGCCACCAGGTGGCACTGTAATTCCGCGACGAGCGGCGGAACGAAATGCCGAGACAGATGAAATGTCAAAGATCGCTGAGGATAGGGACGTGCGAAACCGCGTCGAATCAAAAGCTAATAATACATTGATTATCTATAATATAACAATGTATCATTATCTCTTGATCAAATCTGTCTCTCGGAATTGTACGCGCGTGGTTTGTAATCTTGCCACTAGATGGTGCTGCAATAAATGATGCTAGGTAGCTATTATGATGTTAGTGTACATGTAGGCTTACTGTACGACAAAGTTTGCAATGCAAGGAAAGTACATGAACGTGTTCACGCGCACGCGCGCGTATACAAGTTGGAAACACATTTCAGCTGCACATACCTAAAAAAATTAATGTCCAGCTTCGGCGAGAAAAAAACCGCGGTATTAATGAGTGTTGTTTTTAGAAAAAGTGCTGTTTTGAATAAAGAACGTCTTTAATACACGATAAAACGAGACCATAAGGAACGTAAGGCGGCGGCATTAACGATTGAGAAGCGAAAGTCTTACAGTGTGTTAGGTAGGAGGAAAGAGTGGTGATAAGTTTGCGGCAGTAAACAAGTTATATTTTCGCTGCCAAAGTTCGCGTGCGTTCAATCTGTTGTCGTAACGTAGCGTACGATGTTGAATTTTACAGAATCGTACTCAATGGTAGCCAAATGAGAATGGATTCAATTTTGCCAAGCGCCCGCCAGTTTTTTGTTAAACGGTCGGAATTCGAAGTAAAAGTCGCCGAGACCGTTACGCCGATTTTTCCCCAGCATCTTCAAGCCAACCGACATCAGACATTAATAAGATTTTAATACTGATTTTAATTTTTAGAGATTAATTAGTTGACGCTCGGTGGGTTAGTTCGTCGAAGACGTCTTGCAGAAAAAAGCCCGCGCGTTTTTGGCAAAGGTCCAAGATCTAACCGTACGATGTTATCATACGACGTTGCATGTTAATGAATCCCTCGCATGGTCGGATTTGTTATTACGTTCGATTAGGAGTCGATTGCGGAATCGCGCGTGATTAATTAGTTAAGTTAATTGGTAATTAAGAGTCGGTGCTGATGAGCGGGCAGGCCACCGCACGTCGGGGGAGAGGGAGGTGTAGCTAGCTAGAGGGGGGATGGGGAAGTAGATTGGGGATCGTATCAGTTCTTATTAGTGTACATAAATGTATTTAAAAATTCGTCGTCCTGGATTCCACGCGCTTGCAAGGTATACATAGAGCAATGCCGATGGAGGGCCCTCGTTGCTTTCGTTGTTTTTGTTTGTTTGTTCGTTTGGCTTAGCCTTTCACGTTTTTTTAAGTGTGTGCGCTTGTTGCGCTAGTTTATGTTTGTTTGTTTTTTGTTTGTCTTAACGTTTCGCGTTTTTAAGTGCGTGCGGTCGTATTGCTAGTTTATCTAGGGTTGTTGCCACGTGGGTCGGCGTTCTATGTTGATGATGACAATGTGTGTAGATTGTTTTGCGTGCAGGGAATCCTGCGTACTGTGAATCCCTCGACCTCACTCACAATCATATCGGAGTTTTTTTTGTTACGGGCAGCGAAACGAGATTAAAAAATGCACCGTATTGCTAAAACGAGTCTCATTTTAATTTAACGAAGGCAGTTTTGTGTGAGGGAGGGGACATTTTGTGTAGTGTGTTTTTTTATCAGGGGTGTTATGTGTGTGTAGCTGTGTGAAACGTTGTATAGGGGATGCGTGTGGTGTAGGTGTTGACACGAATTCTGTGATTCGATTTCCCGCGATCACATTCGACGTCTGTTATAGCAAAACGTGAAGGCGTCTGTTTCCCTCTATCGTATAGATAGAATTGTCTTTTGTTGCAAATTACGGAAATGCGGATGTGCAAACTGGAGTTGCGATTATGAGTTTTAATTAGTGTTGTTATTATTATTCTTGTTATTTCCTTCCCTTTCTTTTAATTTTATTCATGAAATCTGGAGCTGTAAACGATCCCTGAATCTACTGTGCATTTAAGCTAAAACAAAATAAAACAGCATCCGCGGGAAAAACATGTGGGAAATAGAGAAGGGATCAATAAGAAAATTAAGAAACTCTGCACGTCTTGAAGAGATACTTTAGATATTTCAACAAGTTTTGTTTCTTTGTCTGGCGTAAGGAAGACAAAATCTTATACTGTGAATTCTTCAGTTTGATTTTTCTGCATATTTGTTGAATAGATTGGTCTCACTCGTAAAGTTCATTCGTGAACCTGAACTGGTACCATTATAGCATATCAACTCGACTATAAAGAAGATAACGGTAAATTTCTTGTTCTTAATTTCGAAGAACTATGTTGTCAAAGTAGTAGATATAGGTTTACTTATACAGGCATATGTACATGATATTGTGTACGTGTATCATTGTAAATAGCAATGTAATAAATGGGTGAATCATGCAACCACGTTATTGATATTTTTATTATTAAATCTTTATTGCATATAATTCAATTACAAGTGCATGTACTGAAGGCAGTCTATTTCATGGAGACAAAATCTGATAAATGCAATAGTGTTGAGCAGTTAAAATAATAAAATTTCCGAGTGATACAGTACAAAACAGTGCTATACATCATGAAGGAAAAATATATACAAACAATGTTATTGATATTTTGTTATACTCTTGGGGTGTTGAAATGGTATTAATGTTAATTGCGTTCTGCTGCGTTATTCTGTCCTGTGTTTTGCAGCCGCAAACACATTTTAGATTTTAATTAAATAAAATTCGGCGAGCACTTTCATGAGAGCATTACAATTTAAAGCAAAACGAAATTGTTATTATACACATGTTAGTAGGTTATATACATTGTTATATAGTCGTTGCTTGTCTTCATATTGCTTAATTATATATATTGTTAATACTTATATAACAGCAATGTGGCAGGCTATATGATAGACATCGGGTCAGGGCCGTTTACGAGTGAAAAATGAGCATATATTTATCTATAGCAACAAAACTCGTAATAAATTATTACCATCCTAATAATTACCATTTTACCAAATAATTCAATTCAATTCAATTCAAAAATGTTTATTCACGCATTACAATATACATAAATAATATAATGGGAATATTAATATCAGAATTGCGTAGGAGGGCGAGTTGACTGGGAAGTCTTCGAGTCGGCCACTCCTTAAATGTGATATTATTACATATATGATGGCTGTTAAATGATACATGAGTTTAACATAGTAAGGATACATAATGAATGATCAATGTGATATTATTACATATATGATGGCTGTTAAATGATACATGAGTTTAACATAGTAAGGATACATAATGAATGATAAATGACGATAAAGCAAAAGAGAACAGGTATGAACAGTCAAATAGATTAACATGACAAAACATAATTTCACCGAACAGTAACTCAAGAGTATCAAAAATAATAAGTAAATAAATAAACTAACTGGTACGCAACATCATAATTTAAACGTACAGTGTACACAAGATCAACAATGTTGAATGTTATGAAGCGGTATGACACATAAACTTAATTTTGCACTTAAAAACCCAAAGAGACAAATGGAACATATGAGCTAATTCTTTAAACAATAAACTTAACTAGCTATATACAGTTGCACATATGAAATTTGTTAGAGCTGAGTAGTTATTGCAAGTAGTTCTTAGTAATTAGATATGAGCTGGTATTCGTAAGTTTTCTCAACTTGAAAAGGTTAAGCAATTCAAGTTTATGGTTGAGGGAAGCCCAAAGTTTCATGCCTCGATATTTTAGTGTTTTTAAACCCACGGATGTAGAGAAACTGGGAAGATGAACTGGCGGGAAGTCAGCCATGCACTCCTTAATAGTGATATTATTACATAAATGAAGGCTGTTAAATGATGCATGAGTTTAACATGACTAAAGATACATAATGAAAGATAAATAGTGATAACGCAAAAGAGAACAGGTATGATCCGTCAAATAGATTAACATAACAAAACATAATTACAACCAAATAAACACAAACGCACGCGCGCACGCAGGCGCGCATGCACACACACATTAACAAACCCTCCCCCCTCCCAACATGCACACGCACACACATACACTACACACACGAACACATCACACACACAGTGGTAGTATATATAATTTAGTATATCATAACTTAGACAGAGTGTGCGCTCACGGAAGGAGTGCAGTTTATGGCTCGCTGCGAGACATGTAACATGTATGTGACTCGCTAGGTGGCGGGCTTGAATGGACTGACATCGGCCGCGCTCACTGGTGGCTGCCTGCCCCCCTGACTCGCCCACTTCGTCTGACTGCGTCGCTATCGATCGCCCGCCTCACTGGTGGTGACTGCCTGACTCGTCCGACTCGCTGACATCGACGCAGCGTATCGGATTCCGCCGCCTCAATGGTGGCTGCTGCATGACTCGTCCACTCGCTCACTCAG